ACGGAGATAGAGCCTCATCTCCGAAACGTCGTTTTACGTTTTATTACTAGACGATGGATAATATCCAAGTAAATTTTTATTCAATTGACTCTTCACCATCGTCAAGAAGTTTTAGATTTAATCCTTCTTATTTAAGATTCACTTAATTCATTAATATATAACGCAGAACACAAAGACTGATAATACTCAGTGTCTTAATCATTGGATGATTTTATAAGTGTATCTGGAGATATTTATAATATTTCATAAATTTAATGAACTTCGAATTTTTACAAGTTTTTATGTACGAAATAGGCCTAACAAATCAGGAATAAAAAAATATTAACGCGACGTGCAGGACCCTTCTTGGAAAGCTGATAGTCGCTCAACTAGTAGGAAATATCCCATCCTTTAAGAAACCTAAAGTTTGTTTCGTGTTCATAAAAGCCCTTATTCCTAAAACTTGTAAAGCAAATTGAAAATTTATAAATCTTACTTAAACGGGGCGGTAACATGTCTTGTCGTAAGATTTTGATTATTAACGACGGTGAATTTATGTTATATTCTGTGTTGCTAAGGATTAAACTGAATTAACATTGTCGTGAAGACATCAAATCCTATAGCAGAATCTTCTTTGAAAAGGCAAGACTCCACAGCACTTCAACACTCAATATGGAGGCAGCACGTTTCTTTTAATGTTAGTTTACAGCAGAAGACTACAATATAAAATGATCTTGCATCATTTCTTCAATTTTATAGATAGATTTTGTACAATAAAATTATTTTGAAAAAAATAATTTTCTCTTAGGGTCTTTATGGTCATTATCAATGATTTTACAATTCATTGGTTAATCATATGGATCTACGTATCGTGTATAATCATTTAACTTTTCCAACAACGTATATCTGAAGCCAGGACGGACATGAAGACATAGAGTAATATATTACTATGTTTCCACGTAATATAATTTGTGTCCACATCGTGACAGATTTATGTATTATATTCACAGTGATATATTACTCGACTATTTATTTCAAGTAATCCGAGGTGCTCTATAATTTACTTTGCTGACAACATGTTGCTAATGACAACTTTAATCTCGTACTTTTAACATAATTCTGATTTATTCGATTTATTTTAATTATATTAGACATTTATTAACCGAATGAGAAATAAACACATTAATCCTCTAATAAAATTAGTATGTGTTCATCTAAAATCTATTTCTAATTGACGTGGGATATAATAATACGTATATCTGAAAAAAATTTGTTTCTAAGAAAATTGTATTTTAACACTGAATCCTGCTAAATTACCATAAAATATTTTAAGGTGCGTTCATAAAATATTATTTTTAAGTCTATTTATACTTATGATATACTTTACATTATTCGCGTATACTGATCTCTAAAAAACAATTTTTTTAAAATTTCTATACGTAAAAAACAGATGACAACTCTATGCATTAGTGACTAAATTATGTCATGAATTTAAAATAGGAGACGCTGTACTTATCCCTACATTCTGCTTTATCAAACGTTCCTTCTTCGTTTTCCTTCTTATTTTGTTAAATTTTATCACTTATTAAACAATTTTTACTATAAGGCAAAGCATTTGAGAATAAAAATATATAGAGAAATATCAGGTTATCATGAAG